TTTTTGTTTTAGGGTTTATGAGGAAACAGAGATGGGTTCCGTGGCTGAGAACGGATGCAAATGCGGATCAAACTGCAGCTGCGATCCCTGCAACTGCAAATGAAGAAGAAGGGCATGAACATGCCAAGAACAAAGCAGCAGTGTCATGTTATAATTAAAGATATAATTTAAAACTAGTGTTGTTTGAGAGTCTGTATTATCTACGACACAGCTTGCTATAAATAAGAGACGGCTAGTTCTGGTCATGAATTGAATTGCTGCTTTGTATTTGAAGAATGAATCTCTAATCTAATACATCTCCTTTGGTTTATATGGCCAATTTCTTCTTCTTCTTTCCAATTTTTAATCGATGAATGATTGAAGGAAAGATTGCTAAAGCAAAAAGGCAAACCAGAGAGACAGGGAAAATAAGGACCTATCTATTTTGGATTTGCTTTATTGATTGTCACACAACCTTCTGTGAATAATATGATGTTCACTGCAATTTTAAGGGTCTCTGGTCGTCTTCATCTTCACCATCATCAAATACAAAACAGAACACAATAATAGTGTGAGGGACCGATCCGAGCACTGCTTTTGGATGAATGGAACACACAAACTTGGATGGACGGCATTCCATGGAGAACACAAGCCGAGCATTCCCACTTCCAGTCAACTTTGCCTTGACATATGACATCATGACTGGTATTACCTTAAATGCCCTGACATTATAAATAATGCACCTTCATGGATTTTCATGAAATTATAATATATTATAATGGTTTCATGAAATTATAATATATTATAAGGGTTCAAAAATGATAAAGGGAAATTTAATATGTAAAAAGCATTATTTAGTAAAGTTGTCAACAAATTTATTAGTTTTGTTACTGAAACGGTACGTATTAGATATCAAAATATTTTGCATATCGTTTCACATTTATTAGTATAAATATATATTTTTATAAATTAAATATCAAATTTTAAAAAATGATAAGAGAAACTAATGTTTAAAACTACTATATTCTTATAAATTTAAAATGATCATTTTTAATCTCTCAATTTTTAATATATGCATATTTTTTGTCATTTCACTTTAAGTTAAGGGACTAAAAATATGCATATTTAGACAAATTTAGCGAAGTAATTGATAAAAGGACTAAAAAAATATATTTTTCATAGTTGATGGATTAAAAAAGTACATAAAAAAGTTAAAAGGATGAAAATGATGTAAAACATTAAAGTTGAGGACAAAAAATAAAATTTATCATTTTTAAATTTGAATTAACTTGTACCAACCCATTTTTGATGTACCTGTCAGCACGTTGAAATTTCGCCATTATATCAAAATTTGATTGAAATGAACAAAATTTGATCGAAATAAAATTGAATCTTATACCATTTTAATTTAATAAAAAAATTGATATGTATTGATGTATCAACTATTACAAAACAATATCAACAACACTGCTATTTAGAGGTATAAATACAAACCTATTTACCATATTTAAAGTACATCCACTACATTTCTAGCGTTTTTAGCTTTTCTAGCTTGGGGATGGAGCTAACATAAGACAAGAGAGGGCAGCCCCCCTCTAAACTTTTGAAAAATATTTAATATAATATATCGATTTTAGTTAGCATACAATTTATTTTTGATATTTGAATTAGAAGAATCATTTTGAATTTTAAAGAAAGTATTTAAGAGTTAAGTAAATGGATCATTTCTTTTTTTATAATCAATTCTTAAGATAAATAATTTTATTTGAGTATAAAAAAATATTTTACGTTAGTTGTAATTCTTTGTACAATTTATATTCTATCAATTTGACAATTAGATTTGATATTCTAATTTAAAGTTCATTAATATTTGTAATCATATCAAACAAGAAACTATATTTTATATGAGATTAATATTTGTTTATTAGACTTGCAAAAAAAAGGTTAAAAAAAAATCAAAATTAGGTTGTTCTAATAAAATATCACGAAAAATTATTAATATAGTCTTCATTCTTACCTTAAAAATATGTTAAGTTAGTCTATTTATTTTAATTAGAGTTTATTTAAATAACATAATTTTGAAATATTTTTTCATAAATTTTTTTCTAGATTTAACTTATTAATATTTTATATTATTTTATATTATTTGTTTAAGAATATTGAATTGTATGTTATTCAAAAATAATTAAATATATTTAATTAATTAAAGTTTGGCATATATATTATAAGTATATTTACACATAAAATTAGTAATTAATATAAAAATTAGTATAATTTTTTTATGTAAAAACTATGAATCAAACTCTGGATCTTTGACTAAAAATTCATATAATTCTACTAACAAACTGCATGATTGGTAATTAAAAATTGATATAAATTATATTAATGTGAATCTATCATAACTCTTTTGCCCCCTTACTTAAAAGTTTAAATCCTTCCTTGTCGCTACCATAATCCCTATGCATGTACTGACTTGAGTATGGGAGACATTCCGGTTGAAATTTGTTGTTAAAACCATTGTGTTATTCCCTTCATCACCTTACCTATCTCTATCTCGTACAATTACAAATGGTTGAAATGCGGTCCATTTCACGAGCGGCTTTCAAAGAAACTCCAAAGTCCAACCACGTGATGCTTTCCGACATCTTTCGCTGTTGTAACAACTATGAGTTTGTTTCCAAGTAATCAAGATAGAAGACATCTATCTTACGGTGTTACAAGTCCAGAATTCCATCTTCACCAAAAATTTTAGTATGAAATACTATTTTTTTAATAAAAATTAAAGATTGTATTAAATAAATAAAATCAAAATTATATGTAAATTCCTGTATCACGATATATGGTTAAATTAGAAGAATTTTAAACAATATATTAGTCTGAAATAATATATATATATATTTATGGATAGTATATATGAAATAATATTAGATGAAGAGAATTCATGATTTTACATAAGCATTTTCGTTAATGTGTGTGATATGTGTTTAATTCCCATACTATTTGTGTGAGAGTCGAGTATTTATGCGAATAGCTAATAGTTTGGTAATCTTAATTGATTTGAAGAACGCCTTGGTAGTACTGTCTCAACAACACTGCAAATAAAAAAAAAAAAGGAAGGCAAATATATATTAACATATTGGAGGAAACTAATTATATAATGGATACGTGGGGTAATACATCAAACGGTTAGAGCCAAGAGGAAGAAGGTTGCTGATCAAAAAATAAAAAAAAAAAAGAAAAAAGAGGAAGAAGGTTGAAACTTTCTTAATTTTTGTTCTTGGTTTCTACTTAATTGAATAATTTTTATATTTAATTTATTTTTTCTTATGTGCTAAAAAAGAAAAAGCATAAATACCTATGTATTGTATGTGCATTGCATAGGATCATATTTATATATTAATTTTTATTATTGTTGATGTTGTTGTTATAATAATAATTATTAT